TGATGTGTGTGTGTGTGTATATGTGTATATATATATATATATATATATATATATATATATATATATATATATATATATATATCAGCTCAGTGCAACTGCTCACTAAAAACCACCTCTAGATCACTATTTCAGGTCATTAACATTTGGATGTTTTTCTGTTTGTTTTTGATTTCGTCTTTTGGATTCTCAGTTATTCAAACACTGCTTTTTATGCTACTATACACCTCATGTAGCTGCTCTGAATGTGCTGGGAAAATATTTAAAACCTCAAAGTGTTGGCAACAGTGTCATCTGGTGGCTATAAATATTACTAGATGGATAGACTTGTTTTGAGGGAATATTTAGACACAAATGCACGTTTAGGGTAGATACTTAGCCTATGCATCAGCATTAGTGCAGGGGTGTACAATACTTGAGTCCTTTTACTTGATTACTGTACTTAACCCTTTGATGCACAAGCTATGAAAACCCCTTCTAATGCACAGCATGGGTCTAAAATGACCCGTATTCATTTCCTATGTTATTTCATGCTTCGCTGGGCTTTTTTGTTGTTGTTGTGGTTTTATCTTCTGAAATCAGTTTATTTCAGCATTTAATATTCCCTGATCTATAAATTCTATGAGCCATGAATATTAAAAATATATATTTTTACAAATGACCACACATTAATATAACATTTTTTGTGTTACTACATCAAGTTTACACACATGGGTCAAAAAGGACCCATCTAAGCAAGCATTAAAAAAACTAAAGAATAAAGACATTTTTTAAACTCATGCAGTGACTTCAAGAAAGCAGATGCACTGTTTGTTGCAATTTAATTAATGGCCAGGGTTTATGGACAGGTACACTACCAGTCAACAGTTTTTGAACAGTAAGATTTATAATGTTTTTTAAAAAAGTATCTTCCTCTCACCAAGCCTGCATTTATTTGATCCAAAATACAGCAAAATCAGTAATATTGTGAAATATTTTACTATTTAAAATAACTGCTTTCTATTTGAATATAGATTTAAAAATGTAATTTATTTCTGTGATCGAAGCATCATTACTCCAGTCTTCAGTGTCACATGATCCTTCAGAAATCATTATAATATGCTGCTCAAGAAACATTGTATTATTATTATTATTATTATTATCAATATTTAAAACAGTTGAGTAATTTTTTCTCAGGATTCTTTGATGAATAAAAAGATCCAAAGATCAGCATTTATCTGAAATAAAAAGCTTTTCTGTTTTTTTTAGCAGCAAATCAGAATAATAGGATCATGTGACTGGAGTAATGATGCTAAACATTCAGCTTTGAAATGACAGGAATATATATATATATATATATATAGTTTTTTTTTTTTTTGCTTTTTGGAAGGTGAATGGGTAACAAGAGTACAACATCACAATGACAATAATAATACAGGGTTACAGATTTCTACATGCACAGTTGCAACATTAGAGAAAGTAAAATCAAGACATATCACCAAGTGTTAATCTACTCATTCTGAGCTGTTACTGTAATATACGGGCGGGTCGGAGCATGTCGATCTCGCCCTCTAGTGCCACTAATGGACCGCCTTCACACGCCTTCAGCTCCAGATTCAGGAGAGAGATTGCTTCCTTCACACGCCTTTCAAATCTCCAGCCCTGGGGGATCGAAGAGGAACACACTTGTGGCACAGAGTGATGAAGAGCAGGGCGCACAGGACGCACAGGACGCAGTTTGTGTTCATCACACAGAGAAAACCTTCACATACATGATCTTTTACTGAGCGCTGCGCTCAGATCTCCAAACTTTGAAAGGCGCGAGCGATGTGGACAGATGTGCTGCTGATCCAGATCTGAATCATCAAGGTGAGCGTGCACTGTCAGTCTGATTGGCTGTTTTGGGGTCTGAACTCATTTCTGTTATTACGCATTATGCAAAACCAGATGTATAAGCGCAGAGGCGCACAGAGGCGCGTTTGTCTCCGAGAGAAAGAGAGAGAGAGGCTCCTCTCACGCTATGAGGTTACTTTAGTTACACACTGACACTTCTGTTAGTGTGCGTTTGTGTGTTTTCCGTAAGCTCGC